CGACTAGACACGTGAACTAGAAACACTACTATTTCACCGCTAAGCAAAAAAATGTTGCACAGCCTACATAAAAAAAGTTCAAATCTATCTTGAGATGTATATAGATATTGTTATTGTTGTTATCTATATCGTAATTTACTACCGACGCATTTGATATTATATCTTTCTCTATATTCATTTTTGTATCAATACGCTGCATACAAATATAGTATAAAAAGCCCACGATACTCAGGTATCCGTATAATACGGGCCTCGCTTAGCGTTACCAGAGAAAAGAGAGAAAAAAAACCACGAAGAACGATGAATAACAATATTTTTTTTTGTATTCTTTTTTTATCTTTCTTTTTCGCTTTCTCCAATTTTCTTGTTATTCTTCTGTTCTAAAAGAAAGAAAAAAAAACGAACGCTGGAACTTTCTCTACAAAACGAGAAAATAATTTAATACAATATATATACAGAGGCAAAACATAGCATTTACTTAGTAAATCTTTTCAACGAATACATACTTTTTTTTTTGATACTCATCATTTTAAACGAACATGTCACTATTTCCAATAAATCGTACATTTCGTCGATTTAATGATCCATTCGACAATTTTTTTGGTCACAACTTAGATTTATTTGATCCATTCTATGACTTTGATCGATTTCCATCATTAGCAATGCCATCATCATTTCGTTGGATTAATGAGCCAAGACGACATCAGTCACTATTAAATACACCATCGGTACCAATTTCATTAGCACCAGCACAATCAGAAAAGTTCCGTGTACAGTTGAATGTAGCTGGATTTAATCCAGAAACAATACAAACAAGAGTTGATGGTAGAAAATTAATTGTACAAGCAAAACAAGAAGATCGTAATGGAGATGATTATAATGTACGTGAAATAAGAAAAAGTTATGATTTACCCCAACATGCTGGTAAGTATACTAATTGAGTATTATTAGTACAGAATTGCTGTCATTTAATGAAACTGTCCTCTCTACGCTTTATATAAATGGATGAGTAAAATTTTAATAATAGAAAATCTGTTGAAAGTTGTGACAAGTTGATTTCTGATCCCTTCTCTCTTGAGAAACCAACGAACGTCTAAATACTCGTAGGGTGGAGTTTCATTTTTACATATACTAGATCTATGTTGACAAAATTTTCTTTTTTTAACAGATATCAATAATGTCGCGTCCTTCGTCACACCAAATAATATGTTGGTCGTTGAAGTTCCCGTTCGTAATCCTGAAGTTGAACAACGAATGTTACAATCGCGTACACTATCTGATACTAACAATCATCAATTAGCTCAATTTGGTCAGTTTAGAGATCCATTATTTGACTATGGTGGCTTTGGTGCAAGTGCATTTAGTCCAAAAATTGTGGCTACTGGTAATGGTCAGAAACAACTGCAGATGTCATTGCCAATGCGAGATTATCGTCCTGAACAGATTAAAGTATCAGTTAAAGACAATGATTTAGTTGTTCAAGGTGAACATAATTATAAAGACAATAATCGTTCAGAAAAATCATATTTTTACAAATCGGTAAGCCTCCCACCTGGTACACAAATTGATCAACTTCAGTCACATTTGACTCAAGATGGTGAATTACAAGTTGAAGCACCATTTTATGAACCTACTCAACAATCACTTCAACAGCATCGTCAACAAATTGAAGTGAATAGACAATAAAATGGATGCAAGGACGGGTATTAAACTTCACATATGAACTGATCTGACTCACGTACATTGTGTTAGTTTCTCATTAATTATACCAAAATAACAATATCTATATACATCTCAAGATAGATTTGAACTTTTTTTATGTAGGCTGTGCAACATTTTTTTGCTTAGCGGTGAAATAGTAGTGTTTCTAGTTCACGTGTCTAGTCGTATGTTTTATTTTTACTTTCTCTCGTTTATAACAATGAAAACTGAACAAAGATAAATTGTACGTCAGTTGTATACAATAGCTTTGAAGGTATAAATCTTCTTCTCAAGGGAATGCATATGACTAAAAATAATATAAACTATCCTCGATAGAAGGACACATTCGTTTTTGATGAAAAAAATTTGATTGTCAGCAAAACTTGCTTCGTCAGTGATGTCGACATCCTGTGGGATACAGTGGATTGTCAAAAGCGAAAGTCCGTCTTAAGACTTTGACTAATAATTCAATATTTCATCGAACACAAGTCAAATTTCTCTGAGAATATGTATGCATAACGACTGTTTCATATATCAAGCACTGACTGTCTACTTAATAAGCGTGTGCGTTGCATTTTTTTTCATGATCACTGAATCTAGTGAAGCATAGCACAACAGTTCTAGAGAGAAAAGGGAAAGAGTATTCTAAAGAGTCCTTGTGGTCAAGAAAATGACTAAATGGACTACTCTCAGATATCGTTCAAAAGAACGCTCTGTTTTTGTATGGTACAGATATTTTGAGTAACAACGAGATGATTCAAAAATATGTTCTTGAAAAGAAAGAAAACGGAAACGTTTCTAGCTTGTTGTTCACGTGCCTCCTTCCGACAGATATCCAAGTGTTTTGTCTTCAAAGGTGGTTTTCGAGCTATTCTTGATGCTTTTTAACAAATAAGCATACTCTTAACAGTTACTACTACACATAATATTAAAATTAATAATAGTTTTTATTCTCAACATTAGCATCTTCATCACGTACTTATTGATTTATTTCTGCTAGAAATTCAGAGTTTAGTGTAAAAAAAAAGTTTTTCATGAATTTGTGAACCAGTATACTGTTAACTACTCAAAGCTATTTTTGAGATCGATTCATCATTCTGCTAAGCAGATACTGTGAATATTCTACTCTAAAACTGACTTTCTCACGTTAAAATATTCAAATTTGACTGTGGATCAACTAAGAGATATGCCGAGAAAAACGTGTTCCTTTTCGAGTGACTAATGTCGTGACAAGGTGCGGTAAATTAAACAGAATGATAAATTTTCACGATTAAAGCATAACGGAAGAAAGGTATGTTTTTTAACCCTAAATTATTCAAGTATTAATTCTCTCTTGTAAAGAAAAGATCGATAATTCTTATCCACTAAGGATAAACAAACAGGTAGTGATGACATCTCAATGACATATATGTTTTCAGATTTTTTTATAACATGTTTTATCTGTCACCATGACCATTAATAACTCATCAACAAACATTAGTAACTCAAGAACCAGATCGCATCAACAATGTGTGAGTAATAGCCAACACAATGAGTTATAACCCTCACAGGTGAAAGAGAAAATCAAATTCGTCACTGCATCCTTGGTTATATTAATGACTTTATAGGAGAACAATGAGGTACTAAGGTAATGTTCTTCCATTTTATGCGAAAAATTGAAATTTGATGGTGACAAAAATTCTTGTTTTCTGCAACTCATTTTAAAAAAATTCCTTTTTTCAGGAACGAAAAATTTTTTTTCAATACTGATGCTTAAGCGGAGAGGTTCATACCCCCTATATGTGCCCTCAAACTATGTCGGTTTGAAGAGAACATATGATTACATATATCCTTCAATTTTTTCAATCAACTAGTAACTATCCACAGAGTTATTAATTAATTAAGTTTAAATTTTAATTAAAATTTAAGGTCCTAATTCTCATTTTAGAAAACTTGTAGCTCAGTTAAAAATAATCGTAGAACAGTCATTCATGCATTGCTTATAGCCAATGGACTGTTGTTATGTATGGTAGGATGAAAAAAGTTTTAAAAAAAGCTTAGAGTAACGTGTCTAATTGGAACCGCAACCAGATTTGTCTAACTTGTGACTTCAGCATCTGAGTGAGTTTTGAAGCAATTTTCACCGAATTTGGGGGCTTTTGTAGTTGAAAGTCTTGGCTATTTAATGATCTAA